CCTCCCCCCATCCAAATTTCAAAACTACACCCTTGAGAGTAATTACGCACGGTTTGAAAACCCCAGCCATTTAGAATAAAATATTTTATTGTTTTACTTACTACATTGTACTTTGAATTACTGGTTCTGAGTATAGTATATGGAACAACCCCATCACCATTATCATCAAAAACTCTTTTTGCATCACCAGTTCCGCTTATTGATAATTTGACATTCTTAAAATGATAAAAAAAGAGATAGTGAACGACTATAAATATCTTTTGTTTTTAAAACAGTTATTTGTATTTGAAAATATGAAATGAATTCAGGTATACCAGCGATTCAAAGCTGTTGCGAATACCTATAACTGCTGAACTGGATGGTCACAGATTCCAACTGCCCTTATGGATATGTATATTCTTTAGTTGATCTGGAAATTGCTTTAAACCAATAGATCAAATAGGATATATATATCAGCTTTACCTTATACATGTATTTTATGATGGCTTCTGGATCCGATGCTGGACATCTGTCAGTTTCAGTACAAGGTGTTTTCATCACTCCGGTCACCACCGAGTAGGTAGCAGCTATTGCAAATGGTGCCCAAGGATCTTGTGTTACCAATGTAGTTAAATTACAGTCTTTGTCCCGATTCTTTCTTTCAAAACTGCCGGCAAATATACAAGATCCTTGCCTTTCCCAAAAGGGTTGTATCCACGGATTCTGTTCATCTAGTTCTTTCAAATATTCTGAAACCTCGGGGATAAGGGGAAGTTCAAGTGATACTGATATTGAACCTTGTATCTTGTCTTTATTGGGAATACTCAAAAGTGATTCTCGGCGTCCCCATGATTCAGAGGCTATGAAAACAAATTCATCATCATTCATACTTTCTGTGATACTGACAATGACATTCTCCAGTATGTGGGATCTTATAAAACTGACTACAACTTTTGCATAAGGGTGTTTTCGAAGCTCTGGTAAAAGCTTATTGTAAATACTAACTTGAACACTTTCAACAACTTCTATGCTATTGGCAACACAAATACCCTTAGAACCCGCCAGTTCCTTTATGATGTAGAGACCACCTTCGCCATAAGATCCCTGACTGTGCAACACCTGGATGTATTTCGCCTCAATAGACTTCAATATTTCTAAAATAACTCTTGATTGTTGATCATCTGCAGTTGGTATCCTCATAAAATATGGGTATTTAGATCGATCACTCAATGTAGGACTTGTAGAAGCAATAGCGACTTGTATAAAACCAAGATGGCTCAACGTTTCTGCTATGGCAATACTGAGAGTACTTCCGATAGTTCCTACGTATCCTAAAATCTTGTTCTGAATCTGATCACTGTAGAAACCCGGTTTCAGTTCATACGATCCCTTGTGCAGACGCATTATTTTTTCTTTTAAAATTATTGGTGATTCACAACCGCTTAAAATGACAAGACCTATTTTTGAGCCTTTCAGTGTGTTCACGAACGAACTGTTTGGTCTATTCATTTTATCTACAGCAAATCGGATGCTTTCGGCAATATCGGCGCCTACCTTAGTACGTATATCATTGGGACATCTAAGTGGATCATCTTCCGATTTGGTAAATATAGGCACTACACCAATTACATAAAAATCACCTTCAATAAACAGTACATCATCAACGAAATTAGACGGTATGCATTTATCACAGTTCAGGTTAGCAGGACATTGAGCTACTGGTAGTGGATCATATTTGTTTTCTTCTTTATCATACATTTTAATGGATGACTTATTAAAATGAAGGACGTCGTTTCGTAATTCACCAACCTAAGACGTTCAATACATTTCTTCATTAATTAATTCAAAATCTACTCCATGCATCATAGACTTTTAGTTGATTAATTTACAATTCATTCATCAGTATACCTACTAGTCAGTATAAGAGTGCAATCACCTGTTAAATGTGACCATGTCAAGCTTCAATACCAACAGAATATATTTAATTTAGTTTTGACGTCAATATTTTAGGTTATTTTTTTCTCATGCATTTCCCTGGCTGTTATCTATATATTCATGGATCCCAATAAGGAATAACAAAAATAGAGGAAATGAGGGTCAAGGTGGTCACAGGCTACCATATGAGGTACAGGGGTAGATTTTAGCATTTTAAGATGCCTTGGAAGTCATTTCGAAACTATATAGAAATATTCTCATCCCTCAGACCAAATTTTTAATGATTTCTTTGTATGTTGGATAAAACTTGAACTTACCTTGGTAAAACAGTAGTCATTGGAACATTTCTGAAAGTTGTACAATTCATACTGTACACTGTTGTTCGATATCTCATATTGTCCATTATCATCAAAACTCACTGTATTCGTTTGGCTTGCAGTGTTATTAAATATAAAGGGGAAATTCTCTGTTAAGTTAATTTGTAGTTGATCTAAATTGTCTATAAATGTATGTTTCTCTGTGTTCTTAAGGGCACCACAAACAGAAGTGCCCCCAGGGCAAATATCCGCAAAAGTGGTTTTGATCAGATGAGCCAAAGTACATACTGCTTTGATGACATAGTGGGAATAGACGGATGTTTCATTTTGATCATGAACCAAATTAGTCCAAGCTTGATCAGATGTGTGCCGAGAAACATTCTTCCAGTAATTGATATATTCGGCAAGCTCATCTCTTGGGCTACTGGTTACCAATGCTCCCTTTGCAGCATCATAATACTCTCCGATTTTCAGCTCAAATGACTGCTTATGAAGCTGCAGTGATTCCGATACTATTAGTTCGAGTTCAAGTTGCTGTAGAAATATAAGAAGACTGCTGATAGATGAACCAGAGCCAATGTAAACAATTCCTTTAACACCGGTGTTAATTATATCATTCAACACATTGACAGCGATACTATTTTTAAAAGACTGATACAGAGGTATGCATATCTTATTCTGTTTGGCCAATTTTGCCAGTTCGGATGCAGCTTCTCCACCATATGCGCCTTCTTCAAAAATGATTCCTACATAGTTCCACTTTAATTCAAGCATCAGTTGAATCATTACCTGAAATACAGTGGCAGCGATTGTGAGGTGTCGGGAATATTGCTTTCATAAGTTTAACTTGGTTAAAAAAAAAGAAGCCAAAATCGACTTCCACAATTTTGCAAATGATTCTTAAAGATGCTATCGGTGAACTAATCTACAGTATCATTTTTTGCTGGTATATCTTTCCTAAGCAGGTCAAAGTTGACATCGCCACTATCAAAGAGTAGACAGTAAAGAGATTGTTGGTTTAACATACCTTAACCTGCTCCAAATCAGATGGTATAACTCGAAAGAAATTCTTGTACAGTTTTCGATTATTAAGACTGGCCGATGTCGCACCATAACTGATCATGGGAATTCTATCACTTTTTGGTAAAGAACTTATTATCTGTGAGACCGCCTTTGCTTCGGTACTTCTGATCGGGCTAAGAATACCTGTTATACTCATATAGTTAAAAATGTGTCCGACCACCTTCAAGGGTGAGTAATCTAAGATTATCTGATAAAAGGGGAAGTGCATTTTGTGTATATACTGTATAATATTACAAGGTTCAATATTGATTTTTCGAAACACACAAAAACAAATGTTCATAATTCCCAACTATGACGTGCGAATAGAGTACGATGTACAGTGCGGGATTATTGGTTTAATGGAGCACAAAACCGAATCGTGTTTGGACCCATACCGCGTGTATTTGGTTCTTTTTCTACTGTGTTGATAATCCCACACCGTACATTGTCAATTGGCACCTTTACAAACCCTTTTCATACTTTCTCCTAAGTAACTGGGTATCATAATCATGTGCGTAAATATAGAAGTGCAACATCACAAAGAACTGGCTAAATTCTATTATCGTCATACACAATAAACTCTGTCTGTTCTCAATAACTGTATATTAATCTCGTGATCAAATGTATTGCGATATTGATACGGTATATTAAGCAGATTTGGTAAATACATGGTTATTTCCCTATCAACTTCCGAAAGTATAAATTAATAGCCCAAAGGTTTTTCTAAACAAATATATTATACATTGATGTAATTATAAAGGGATAAATTTGTCCTGTTCTTACCAAAAAGAAATGGATCGCTCCCTTTGTAGGTTGTTAAAAGAGAAATAGTAGCATCGGCGGCTTTTTCTGGCACACCACACGTTTTCATCCCATGTAATCCTTTTAAGAAAAAAATATATCTAATGGCTAGTGTCTTTTGTACATGTTTTGTCTATAGCAGCTTGTGGAGTTCCATTTCAGCTATCCAAATTAAACTTATACTCCGGTTGCTTTACAATTCAGCAAAAATGTACTGTCATCACTTCAAGAGCGTTTAAACAGACTCAGAATACCATCGATACCTCGTATCTTTACGCTAAAGAATATTCTGATACGCAATACGCATATCTAAATAACACATACAAAAGTGTTATGAAAATTGGAATTTCGACGTGCTTGCCGGTACAACAACAAATAACTTGAAATTACATGTAATGTTTGACATTTAATGTTGGACCAATGAGTCGTTTAGCTTTTATTTGATTTGGTGATATCTTCACCCAAGTTATAATTGAAGACGGATAACTGGCGATGTTTGCCTGGCAACGTATTCTCGAAACGATCTTAGCGATAGGATGTGCTGGTGTCGTAAGTCATAACACTGTTTCTGGTAAGTCCTAGCGCTGGGATAGTTTCGAGAATATGTAGCCTGGTGTTCCGGATTGGACAGCTTTGTCAAACTTAGCGCAATTCATTAGATAATAGCGAAAATATTTCATATACTGGAAAAAGTTGAATCTGTTGCACCTTTGACTCTATAGTGCAGAAATAATCAAAATTGGGTTTTATCCAAGAAAACATACCTAATTTTAGTCCTCCGGGTAAAAAATGATTTGCATTAATCTTGTCAATAGTCCATTTGGCCGCCTCGAATTCTTCAATTGATGGTTGATAAACTTCGGATGAGCAGTCTTCACCAATGGGACCATACACCATAAATAACCCTCCGATGTAGAAATCTGCATCTTGTGGATACTTTACTTCTTCCTGACAGTTGACTGACAAAATAACATAACACAGAGCTAGCAACGTAACGACACCCATCTTACGGTTTTTACACGCCCGATCGCTGCCTTGTCAGTGACTGTAATGCCCACTGGTAATGTAATGCAGATTATATAGAAAAAATGGATATACCAGTCATGAATATACTTCCTTTTAATAATAATTCCTCTAATGTGCCCTCAACCAACTGACCTAATTTCTGTTGAATACATTGTAATCTGCATAGACAATCAAGAAACCTCAAGACACGCTATTTTATCTGTATTAATTTCTTATTGTGTGTTACAAAGCGATTTCAGAAAATATTTGTACTGAGACAAAAGGTTTTTTTTTTCAAATTATTTGACATTCAGGTTATTTCACCCTTTGCTGAAATCCGAGTGTAGATGTTTACAATTTGGTGTAATATTTATACCAACGGGAACAATATCAGGCATGTGCATCACCAGAGATCAGGATGCAAGGGACAGAGTGACATTCGTTCATCCACAATACGTGATATATCTGAAAACTAAAATGCAGAGGCAAAGCGCCATTATGGATGTAGCCTTATGTTGCTAATACCGTTGTGTATGGGAGTAATATCTATCCAATATTTGACTTGCCATGATATGAATAGTTCGTAATTAGATGTTAAGATTTAACTTGACCTTCACTTCGTTTGAAAAATAACAAAGTATTTGTATTTTACATTGAGGGCACATAACTTGGGCTTAAGCCAACATTGAGAATAAAATACAAAACACATTAGTAAACTTAGAATCCTTTATTCGATACAAATTTCATTTCTTCTTTCTGTCCATTTATACAGCCTTCATCCCTGAAAGAACAAATTGAAGCGACACATGTAATGTGGTACAATTGCTATGAAGAAATAGTTTAAAATCTGCAGTACAATGATCGCGACAAGTTAGCTTCTGCTAAGTCTTGAGGGTGACTGTTAACTGCTAGAAAAATCGGTTGCATCTGGGAAATTATGCTCACGCACTTAAAATATGGCAGGGACCTCTAGGTGCTCATGTTCGACCCGCAGTAAAAATTTGGCTTTATTGCGTTGAGCGGTAGGAACCTACGACCACCGAGTTGATAAGGAATTGCTAGGTCGATTTGAGTGATGTGCATCACCTGGTGAACTTAACCCACCTCTATGGGACTCGTTTATACGAGAAATAATATGTTACATAAAGATCTAAATAATACCCACTCTTTATCACATTCAACTATTTCTTTTTGGAAACATTCAGAATGAAGAATATTAAAATAAATATTTCCAATAGTATGACCTGCATCATCATCTGATTGTTTTAAACAATCGTAAAATTTATTATCACATATACAATTAGATCTGAAATGAATACAAAAATGTTTAATTAACTGCATTTGATCTTGACAGCTGGAGTATTTGAAATTTTTCTATACCTGATTAGGTTAATAAAGACAGATAAATCCAATATTAATCATGGTATTACCCACTGAAGATTTCTTTTCTGCGGAATATGTCATTAGTTATAGATACTTTAATGATCAAAATGGGCGAATAACAGCTTACAGATACAATAAAATACAATCTTTCAAATAACCACACTTGTAGAAGAGAACATAAGAGTATTTCCTTAGTGACGACACGGAAAGTTCAATACTTACTTGACAAATGGACTACCGTTATATAATTCATGTTTGGTCTCATATGGACCAATGTTATCAGAGCATGTATCGTGCTCTCTACAACAAATATCAGTATCTAGATGTTTTCCCAAATCATAAAAATTATCTGATGAATTTCCAGCGCCACACCATTTTGTACCTGGGAAAAAAGTAAAATTGTCTCTGGTCGAATCTATGAGCCACTGGATTTCAACGACTACAATTAGCAATATCCGGGAGAACCTGATCAGTTGCTGGATTGAATCGACCTGAGCGTACCTATGACTAAAAATCGAAGTTGCCGCCAGTTTCCCATGTTCTACTTTGAGCAATCTATTAGTCACTGTCAACTCCTCGATGTGGGAGTTTTGCAAATGTCCATTGCCACATCATAAGTTGTATTACAAGGGAGTGCATATGAGTATGAGTTGAAATTAATCATGTGACCCAAAAATTGTCTTAGTGTGTCGTAACAAACATAACCTATGAGATTGAGTAACCAGAGTAGTAAAACTGTACTGTAAAAATATTTTAAGGAAAATTATCTAAATTTAAGTGGTATTTGTAATGAATAAACGTCTTATCGTTATTAAATTTCATTTGTTTTATGACATTTGATCACAATAGGGTAAAGTTGTAATGAACCAAATATATGAGTCATTTTACCTCAAGTGCTGGTTTGCATTATGTATTGTTTCAACAAACAGGTTATTTACCAGTTGGAAGCCTTACAGCCAGTTGATATGCTTTAAATTATATAGAGGAGATCCAGAGAGTTTAATAAACACTATTTTACTGAGTTGGTTTTTGACAACCACGCGTTGTTAAAATAACACCCATTTTCCTGTTCAAATATTGCAAGTATGTATTACCTGGAAAAATTAGTTCAGCAGCCCTTCTAGTTCCAAACAAGTTATAATTAGGCGGACAGTTGTTGATAATTTTTTGAATTGCATCCTTATTTAATTCAACCACTTTGCTTCCTCTTGGTAAACTTTGAAGTTTGTTGGTAACGAATCTTCTGTTAAAAAGAGTATTGCTGGTATTTTGAATTGAATCAAGACATCAAATTGAATCTACTTTATTATTATCTTCATTTATTGCTTTTCAACATTTGTACGTCCCGGTGTTTGCTTAAGGACGGGCTAATATAGGCGGAAGCACCAGCCTTCTCATTGTTATAGGCCCACATGAAATGGGGGGCGTATAGTGCCATCACCCATGTCCGTCCGTCCATCAACAGACACTCTACTGACTGATTTCGGCATAACTTGGTATGGTTTTTTGATAGCACCCAAGGATGAATCCAATTGTAAGTATTTAGTACGAGTTATTGCCCTTGTTCTTGAAAACGCATTCAAGACTCTAGAAGGGCCATTTCTTGACGGATTTTGATGACACTTGGTAATATTATCATTTATGACTGACGGTTGAATATTTCATACTGGTAATTGTTACTGTACTGCCAAATATTTTTTATTTAAAATCAAATTACCTTGCCTGGCAAGGTTTAGGGGTCTTTAAGGACCATAGTCTGTTACATGGGGCCCCTGGCTTAGTTCATTATTCCATCAAAACGAACACATCAGCAACCTCGTCTTTCATCAAATATTTCGACTTGTGTCAAGATAAAACGCCGGAACTCTAGCAACGTATATGCATTAAGGTTACTTAGCTAGGACAATGGCTTTCCGGTTAAAGCGCAATCCCTTATTACACCCAGTTAGCGTAGCTGATGATAAATATCAAATGTTCAATACCTGTCACCCAAAATATTACATAATCTAAATGGTCCAAGCTGTTCCTCCTCTACCAAAATATTACCAGATTTATAGTATACCATAGAACCAGAAACACAGGCGCAAAACACAACACACAGTACTAACAAACTTAAATACATCTTCATGGTTCGCTCATCAGAAAGGACTGCCCGTAATAAGTCAACATGTATAATTGTCGACTCAATTCAACCCCACTCGTAACAGATGTTAAACATGCTGACACTGTCTCAGTCTGAACTATTTTTTTAATATTTATGTTCAGTAATTTTGTCTATCTCTTTTAAGACCAAGATGTTGTTATGATCTTTCAATTTTGCAGCTCAATACCTTCACCAGTCATTCGAGGTACATAAATATTCTTTACAAATTAGCCCGACCGGTAAAATATGTCTACAGTGTACTTACTATAAATCCAACAGACAGTCTAAGACATATCTGTTAAAATTTCGTCATGTAAACAAATAAAGTTAATGAACGTAGTTACAATACAGAAATTCATAATACAGGACTCTTATTAGAAGGTTAAACGAGTGAAGAGAGATAACTCCTGCAGGTTAAAGTTACAATTTTACGAAGTTGTTTGAAGAAATCAAATACGCGGAGGTTACTTACTGCACTTGCGTTGGCAAATAAAGATGGAGAAGGTTATAACGTCGGAAATGAATGGACTTTTGTCAGAAATTAGGATAAGAGGTCGTCACACCGGAAAGGCATGTTCTAAACAAATGCTAAGGTTCGACAATTTGTTCCAAAAGTGGGTTGTTAGGACAGGCATTCCACTATCTCCACGAACGTAATAAAAGCTCAGTATACGCTTGGTAAAGACGCAGCAAAACGATCACATTTGTAACAGCGAGTTCATAATGTCTTTACCACGACGAAGTCACTTTTAAATAGGTTGCTGAACAATGCTACATTAAAAATTATGGACAAAATACTGTTTTAAGACAAAACTTCTTTGCTAAATGGGCAACAATTATAACCTGTAATTGTCAATTTGCTCAAACTTAGGTTCCTATCATGTAATATGATTAATGGCCCATAAACATGTCGCTTTCACAAAGTGCAACCTTCAATGAAACCTAAATTAATAGTGAATCAGACATTGGGTGTGTAGCCCCAATACAATGATACAATGTAACACATTGTGATTTTGATGAATGCCATTTATTCATATAAATGTACACTTAAATAGACATACATCAGAAGGTATTCAATTTTAATTAAAATAGAACTGTCTGCAATTATAAGTTTTTTTCAGAAAATTGGTTAATCAATCCATTACCAATGTGTCCATAACATTTCGAAACTAACTCATAATATGTTCAGTTGTTTATGGTTAAGATACATGACCTGACCAGAACTAGTTAGTCTATCTATTTCTTCACCAAGTCACTAATTCAATTGCCATCTTTTTCCATGAAAGATCCAAAATTTTTACCAGATATCTCAGTTGAAAATGTCATTTGCAAGGTTCAATATATAGTGACTATGAAAATTTTCAATAAGTCAAATTCGAAGTACATGTTGACCATAACCGATTATCACCATTTTCCTGGCCGTGACTGCTCTCAAAAGGTAGGTTTTCAATATTTTACAATATCACATATGAAAGGTTTGCCAATACTTATTGCCTCGAGGAAAATTCTGTATATAATAACCATGAAAATTGTAACTTCTCACAAAGTACATGTAGACGATAACCGGTTATCTCCATTTCCTTGCCCGTAACTGCTCACAAACTGATGTTTTTTTTAGATTTTGTGAAAGGGAGTGTTTGACTCTCACAATTGTGCAGGTCTAGGTTAGAACAAATACTGCATTGAGACATAATTTTCCAATATTAGTCAAAAATAGGCATTCAATAATCCTAAAAGCGTAGGATTCAAGAACGGAAATCATGTTCTCCAGTTGTCCTCGTCATTTTTTCACACTTAAGTCGAGTAGCACCCCATTAGTAGCTTGGCATACACAGATTTGTATTCTATTCTGGTTTTTATTTAAAATCAGTATATTTGCTCATCGCCATGCATAGCATCACCAACCAACCAGCGTCGCTTCAGCGTATTATGTACCCCAGATAGATTTCTCGAATTGGGATAAAAAACAATAGGCCCTTCGAACCAAGAGAGGATAGATGTTTAAATGATTTCGGTCTTCCACTAAGTTGAATTCGAAATTCAGTGATAGCCTACTGCTCAACAGCTGGTGGAAGGCTGGAACAATGTCTCCTTGTTCTTCCCATCAATTTAATATGACAGTCGGAAATCACTCACTTAAAAAAAATCGTCTGTCTAATGATTCGCAATCAAGGTGAACTAGGTGGTAAAGGCGGCGGAGGAAGACTCTGACGTTTGATTAGCGATTGTCTTTTTCTCGATATCGACATCTTCTCTGTTGATATCGGAGGAGATACGTTATTGTTTGTGGGGGATACTGAGGACACATTTGACTTTAGCGTGGATACACTGGTTATTATTGGAGGAGATATTGGCGGTGGTGTTTTGTTTTTTGTAAAGGAATCCGGTGAAGTTGGTGGAGAATCAGGAGGCACAGGTGGTGGAGGCAACCCACTTCGTTCCATCGTTGATCTACGCCACAATTTCTTGTTCACATCCGCTCGTTTTCGATCAATTTTCCGCCGCAATTCAACTGTTGGCCCTTCAATAGTCTTTTCCTCAGTGCCACAATTTCGCTCGACATTATCTGAGTATTCAATGCGTCTTGGACGTTGAACAGCATTTGATGTTTTATCTCTGGGAATGATAATATCATTGTTTTTGATGTCAGATTTCGCATCCATTTTTCGTCAAAATAAATAAGGGACTACAACTCAATTCTCGGATATACAGTATGTATTCATAAAGTATACGCGGTCTTAGAGAACAGGTTTTATCGTATCGTTGCTCTTGCGGAAAAGAGTACAGTGACCTGAAAGAAAATAAATGCATTCATTATTATGAGTATGTTAAAATGCAGACATTAATGCATAAATAAATCAACATTATTTCAAAGGTGGTTTGTGCAATGAATAACATGGTAAGAAAGATTGAAAAATGAAATGATATTATTGATAAAATTGCAATTGATTTTATGTCATGCGTAAATATTAACATCTACAAAACAACTGGATAAACCATAAAATGTTTACTGGGTTCATAATGATCTTATTAGGGTATAAACATAGACCATGTGAAGTTGAACTTGTTAAAAGTTGAAAAAGTAGGAATCCATTTGCCAATCTACTTTAAAATATTAAAAATCAGCCACAATTTTTAATTGAATGGTGCCAAAGCCTAAATCAATTTTATGGCAGGCCGGTTTTTACATTTCCAGTTGGAAATCGAACAAGATTGCTTGTCTCCATGAACCCAATTCAGGAGCAGAAACATAGCACGTAAAATGAAATGAGTGCAGTTTTACGTCCTACTTTTCTGAAAGGTGGGAAGTAAAAACCCATTTCATTTCCAAGAACCATGTCCAAATCTTTGAAACTGAGACTAACTTCTTGTAGAGTTAAAAATAGATTTTTCCCATAAAGAGCTACATCGGAGTGGAACTTCAATAAATCACAGATGTATTCATAACAGCGCATTTATTAAACCTGAAACTGTAGTGTATGGGATAATTGGCATCGATTTCATAAAACAATTAATCCGTGCACACCGCGTGGAGTCCGGTGCTTCTATTTACGTTCGATAAGAAGCAGATTAAATGCAGTTTACTTTTGAGTTAAAGAAGATAGACATCGACATGCAACGTAATTAGCGAATTTTTCTCCGCAATGAGATATATGTCTACTTTATGGCGCTTCAAAATCGCCTGAAGAAAACCAGGTGGATGAGAAGTTTTTTCCCCTAATGTCAGCTATTCTGACGCGCAAATGAGTACACCAAAGTGAAAAAATTCGAAGGAACCATCTCGACTTTTGTAGGGCTGTATCCTGCAGCACATGGTAACGTACAACATGCTGAGATACCATGCATTCTTACCTTATAATCAAGTTTATAAACAAAACAAATATCCTCTGTTCTAAGTATATGTCTTGATCACCTTGAAGAATGTCGTAAACGTCAAAATAAATTGGTGTATAACGCGACATGTAAGATGATATCACACACCATCACGTTGGATTGGGTCTACAAGCTGGTGAAATAACGAATACATAGAGCCCTATTTACAAATGATATTTTCTATATGACCAACGTTACAGTGTATTATAAAGAAAGGTGTATGAAACAGGGGCGTTCAGGCGTATAATAAAAGAATTCTTTTCGATCATTTAAGCATACAGCTAAGATACCGAGTGAATGAGTCACTTCAATATCATTAGATGTTTTGATTATACATGTATATCTTATGAAAAGGATTAAATATTACCACAAACTCTCAGTAAATGCAAGTTTACAGATGGAAGTTTCAATTTTTGTCTAATATAAATCTGCCAATGTCATTAATACTGATTTGCGGGTAAAATAATAAGTAGGCTGTCTTTCCAATACTATTTGTTTCTTTTAATAGTTACATTCGTATAGTATCTTTAAGTCTCATAGGCTAGTTTATAACTCCCATTGCTTGCTGTTGGTTATGGTCACATATTTACAAATATCATAATTCTAAAATTAAATATAATTTTTTATATCCGAAATTTCCTTTCTGTCCTTTGGTCATTTCTTCATTTTGACTAAGAATGAAGCCACTTCTCAAGACGCTTTTCGCTAACCGGGAGGTTCAGGATTCGATCCGACAAAAGTTTACAACACCACTGTGTCCTCATCCTACCAACATAGATGGACTCACTCCAGTAAAACATTACTTTCAATTTTAGTTGCTCAAAATTTTCATGGTCATCATATAATGAACTTTTTAGGAGACATTGAGAATTGGCCAGGCTTTCATTCGACATATTGGAAAGCTTTCAACGAGATTTCTGGAAAACGTTATAGAAGGTTGAATTTCGTGTTTTAACATTGGGAGAGATGGCAAATGAATTAGTGGAGTGAGTCCATCTTAATCCTGCCATATATATTAGGTTACCTCCCTTACCTCGATTTAAAAAATATTTTATTTTAAATAGGAGAAATCAGCTAATCCGTGATATGCTAAAAATAGAACACATGCAAGACTTGAGTAGGACAAACCACACTTACAACTGCTAAAGTTGTGCACCATGTGATACACAAAGCACCTCTATGACATCATAGCCGATCTATCCTATTAAACATAGTGTATTTACAAATTATAATAATGACTCATTCAGAAACAGAGTCTATATAAATCCATCAAAACTGTACTCATTATAAAAACATTGAGAGGCGAATTATAAATGAAATGATAGTAGTAATTGTTACATTATCTAATAGTGATTCGGACTAATGTTATCGTCTGTACTTGTGGTCTGAATCAACATAAACTATGAGTGATTCCCCTTACCTACGAACGCCATTTTATCCCGAGCTTGTGCACGCCCTTGGCAGTCCACCTTTTGTCTTCATACCTATTGTATCTAAGTTGCTGTTCTGATTAAAACCTTAACTTCCTTATGACTTGTCAATCATACAATCATGACAGTAATAATAACGTAATATAAATCATATAAAAGAAAGTAAAATGAGATATTTCCTGGGCCTATTCACTGATATGATTTATTGATAAGAATTTAAATTCAATGATAGGGAGAGTTTGAGGGTATGCAACACACACACTGTTTAGACTCAAAAGGCTTAGACATGGTGATACAATTATGAACTTTTAATTGATTTTTGCTGAAAGATCACTATTTCCAAATGACAGAGATGTAATATTGTTATGTTTTATAGGAAGATGGTGACTTCGTATCAGAGTATAATTTCGATAGTTCGGCGTTATCAAAAGGATGTCCTGGTGGGCAGGAAGGGTTGTTAGATTTGTGCATGAATAGTATATGAGCGTTAAGAGGACTTACGTAATTTTGTGTGTAAAATTTTAGAAGATCGGTTGCGAGATAGTTGTGTGAAGAAACAAAAGGAGTAGAAGTAAATTTATTGAGCTCGTTGTATCAAAATAAATATCTTAATCCTGCCAAATATATACGGTTACCTCCCTTACCTTCATAATTTCTTATGAGGACGGAATGTTATGACTTGTTTACATGTATATAAACACGCATATTTGTGAATTGAAATGATTATTGGCGTGTAAAGAAATGTGTGAAATAAAAATAGTGTAGAGAACGTGCGTGTGAATTTGAAGAAACGAGGATCACACTTGTCTGTTTAAATATCTGTCAGTGGTAATTTGTATATGTCTTATCCAACAAAATTGTTGCGAAATAGATGACATCATGTTCGTAATTGTTGCGAAACTTAACCGAATTGAGATCACCTTGTATCTTTTAAAATAAATGCCAAGCCATGCCAGTTGTAAAACAGCTGCAGATAAGGTGGTCTTTCCACATGTTATAGTGAATATTTCCCATATTGTGATTTCTGTTTGCTCTGATGGGTGTATGTAACTATCTTCCTAGTAAGCCTTACTTAATCTATAATTTCACTCAGCCTTATATGAATTTTTTTCGGAAGACTATTTATCAAAAAGTTTTAGGGATCCGTTCTGATCAGTAAGTTTGACGCTTGCTCGCCAACCTGAAGGTTCGGGATTCAATCCCGCATAGGTTGCGATAATACCTTTTGATTTTTCTTAAAATGCAAATTTGAGGTTGGTCTTCTTGCATTTAATGGGATACAGGGAACGACAGAGGTGCGAAGAAAAAAAAGGAGGCAATAACAACATTTCTGAATTTTACGTAAATTATAACTTTAATGATACAGATAATATGGATGATTATATCTGAATAACACCAGAATAAGGTTATTCCAAACTTTGAAGAATGGTGTTCTATATCCACATCGCTTCTGCAAATAAAGTCTGTTTTTAAATGCAATGGTCTGTTACCCAATCCATACCTGAGTATAAATGAAGGTTTGTTTAAATATTTGGTAAGTTTCTGATAACGAAAAGTAAAAATACTATGCCCTAATATCATCACGAAAACCATATAAAAATGTCAAAATTTACAAAATTAATATAAATAATAACTTTCATAATGTAATTTACAAACTAAAATAATAATTCTAAATATTCTCAAATATCACAAGATTCCTAAAGTTGAATATCAGATATTGCACTCAAAATCAAGTAATCACAAACTATATAAATTGTCTCACATATCAAATAGGTTCATACAATAAACAGGCCTATTGGTACTTCATTTACATCTTTGCAAAAAAATATCCATCATTCAAAAACTTTTAATATAAAAAGCTAATGACCCTATTGCATTTATCATCACCAGGTCATCGTTTCTGTAAATGGTCAATGACCACAGATGAATACGGGCCATTAATCCGGTAATTTCGATTATTCATGCAGTTCTCGCTGCTCATAGCTGGTTGACAATGCTACGAAGGAGCAATCTGTCAGGAAAACTGAATCTTTAGTTGCTATCTCTCCTGCATTCCATTTATACATTCAAAGCTATGTTTTCATTGATGCTACACACAAGCTTCTAAATATTTAAACTGTCGACCAATACGATGCTACTTGAAAGGCTGTACAAGTAATATGTATTTGAAAGTAAAGCCACCACGGTTAAACACGCACTGACACCGTGACATTTTCTGAACATAGAGTAGGATGTCAAATATTCTTCGTTGGATTTAAGGTCTTTAATATCAGCATAGCCTATTATATCACCAACACCAGCTGTTACTTCCATATCAAAGGTTTTCACCATCGCTGTTACAATCAGTGGGGCTAATACCAGAGTATTGGCCGTTGCTGACAGAAAACTAATTGCTAAAGCATACATCTGAAAAATGTTAAAGAGAACATGGAGATGCATCAAGAACTCACTAAGACAACTCCAGCTGATCATGGTGATCATCAGATCGGAGTTTAAGAGGATGATCTTAATTCGTTTGTGAATGAAAATAACGCGTATCATTAAATTAGTACTGATAACTACAAAAATATGTCAGCTTATTTATAACAATACAATAACAATTTCAATAATAATTTGCAGTACAAAGAGCGTTGAAGATTCCCAAATACGACATTTTGTTCGTACAAAGATAATTATTCTGCAAATTTCTTGTGGCTTATAACATATTTTTAATTGAAAATCTTACCTGTTTGTAATGTACCAGAGACCAGTTATCCAAAGGACTTTTTAACAGGAAGGTACTAATAGTCAACACAGACGTTACATAGCACCAGAAGAAAAACATGGGAAATAATCTCTTCTGTACTTGACCAAACATACGTCTCGGGAGACTACAAAACATTGTAATACCTGAAAACGAAAAATAGAAGAATGATGATCACAACCACTTATGTCTAAGAACATTATCCTTGAAGTGGGCAGACGATTCTAGGTATGTCGTAGGCGACAAAGACATATCTAAAAATTGCAATTAACTGGTTGTTTACAGATTCAAACGGCTCCAATTGAAACGGAACAACTAACTAATGGCAACAACTGAGAAGCTTCGATATCAATCAACGATTGATCAAATTCTCTCAGTCAAAGACTCTGAATGGAGGCAAAGACAACAACTCTGGTACCCTTTTTTGTATCGAGATTAAACGTAAGTATGCAAAACCATGTATTGGGACTGGATTACAATGACAATGACACAATAATTTGAAGGCAGATTGAAATCTATATCATTAAATAGAACATGGTTACACTGGTAACACATCGTTAGATATTCATTTCTACTCACCGGCTACTAACGTGACCCAAAGCTGAGCCCCTAATTGCGCAGTGAACATCATAAGGTGTGTGAATGTTATAAGTGTTGATGTTGGATCCATGTGTCGTTTACTTGGATACGAAAGAAAACTAACAAATAAAGCCATTACTGCCAATGCTAGATAGTGAATATGGCTAATTCTGAAAATACAAAGAAAATAATAAACATAACAAATCGTTCTGCTTTTTCTCAACATTTTTTGGGGGACATGGACACAATTTCTATGTATGTTTCAAAAATTGTTATTCTTTTATGTCATTGATTTGAGCTTTTCCGATCCCTTATTGACCCTTATTGTCTGCAAATTCGCCGTTGCCGCTAGTAACCATAATTTCTACTTTCTAAAATAAACTGGCATCTTTTCGACCTCTGTGGTCGGATTGTAAAACCATCCAGTTAATTGCAGGCGTTAGTAACCGGTAAATATTTCGATATAAACCCGTCTACAATTATTTAGTTCAGTTTAATCTTAATTCCAATGTGAACCCATTTTCGGTATTAAGAGGCATGCACATCCATCGATAAAGTTTCATTTTTCCATTCTAAACATGTTCATTTAAAAAAAAGTTGTTTGGATCGTACAAAGCAAACTTAGAAATAGATTCCAACGATGAGATTGTTGCGCTTTTTACAGCCTCTTCCTGATGAAATAAAATCTAGGAAGTTCAGAGTGCCATTTAATAAGTTTAATGCGGATTTTATACAATAGCCCTCTAATCTGTTCATTTTATTGACCTTCATAAATGGGGTCAATAATCTATTTGTTGACCTTTGACAACAATGTGTAGAGATAACTACGGGCGGGGATTTTTAATATCTTGAATGGAATGAGTTTTAAATTGCCCGAGTTATTTTATTGTATAAAGTGGTTAAATATCTATGACATCAATATGAGTGATAAGAGGTGTGGAAGTTGTATGATGTAATTCCCACTTCACATAAATGCTATTGTAAGCATTTATCATTCAAGTCAAATTATTGTCAAAAATTTGAAAAGTTATTGTTATTCATGAAATGAACGAAGTTTTTAACGCCCTTCTTTTCTGCAAGTTTATAGTTAAATTATCATTGCTAACATTGTTAAAATTAGTGGGATTAAGAATAAGAATATATTTAAAAACTGCTGATAAATGCAATTTGCAAAATATAAAACGATGAAGCGCTTTTCTCTCTGTAAAAAATCCTTTTGTATCGTAGTTTTATCAAGGAATTTAATTTTAACGTGAATAATAATATACAATTAGAGAATTTACATAATCATAGACAAAATGCATGTATCTGCAAAACGTAAGCCCATGGCTTAAATGCATCAAATTATTGATAAGAAAAAATGTAACAGAAACGCACATTATTACTTAGAATTTGTGTACATAGAGGACAATTTTGAGCAGAAATTTACGAAATGTCTTTCATTTCAATGTGTAGATACAAACATTAATATTTGTATCAAATCATTCTAAGACTGGTACTTGACTGATATTCCAATTCACTTTGATTTATATAGGTATTCTTATTAAATGGCATTCTCAAGATATATAATTTATACTTAATAAAACAATCTATTTAAATAAATATCATATTCTAAACATTAATGTGTTTCAAAATTCCTCCCAGGCTGCGCTACTATTTTTTGCTTTTCAATGATAATGATCTGAAAACTGAAAAGAAATAAGTATCACTGATATTAAAACATAAAATTTGTTCTTACCTAAGGCGGTCTAAATATAAAGCACTCATGACTTTAGATAACATCTATTTATTCCAATATATAAAATTAATAAGTATAACATATATTTCAATATTCGTCTTCTTGACACACGTGCGTTATCCATATTTATATATAGACACACTAATTCCCACTGCGACATTTCTATTGGACATTTGTTTCATCATCCTGGTTTTCAGCCAATGATAGATATTGTGACGTCGAGGTGAGGATAGAACGGGTGTGATCCGAGAGTGAAAGGTGTATACGTGCTATATACCATGAGTGTAACCTTTAAACCATACCTAAAAACGTATCAATTGTACTAGAAAGCATCTAAGTTTATTTACATCAGTAGTCCATGTGTGCGGTAGAACCATGGCGTACATGATGTCCCATTGAAACCCATTTCAATAAAACCGGTTAAATCAACTATTACAGTAAACGTGCAGTAACACTTTTGTTCTGTTTACAGGTGATCGGGTACAAAAGATTGTGCAAAGACGAAATCTGACTTTGTAATGACATACAAAAGGAATGAAATTCGGTTATGTTTCAGAACACCTACTTTATTCAAGTTCATCGCTAAGACTTGCCTTAATCCTGGGAGGTTTTGACATAAATGACATTAAGGTGTCATTTATATACGGTTTAACTAATTAAGCCCAAGATGAAAAATACGAAACACCGCCCTGTCATTCGATTCGACCCTATCTAAACTACCAAAACAATAGTACCAGACATATATTTCAATATTCGTCTCCTTGACACACGTGCGTTATCCATATTTATATATAGACACACTAATTCCCACTGCGACATTTCTATTGGACATTTGTTTACGGTTTAACTAATTAAGCCCAAGATGAAAAATACGACAATTTAAAAAACAGACAATTTAAAGGATAGATCCTTTTCATTCATTCTTGACCCTATCTAAACTACCTTATTAAACCCTATTATTGCGACATGCCTTATTACTAGAACCTAACCCCATTTCACCTGTTTTATATGATTGACATCGGCTTTATGTTAAATACAGTATAAATCTCATTTCTAACATTTAAATGTTCAACAATTTTAATGTAACATTCAAGTCATTTGACGTGGACTAAGGAATCGTGGTTTGACAATATCTTTAATATGTTCATTTATACAAATAATTTAACAGAACATTATTAAATAAATGAGTTTGACCACAGAACAATTCACGTGAGGGCAGCACGTATGAAGAGCATTACATTTATCATATTAGATAGACTCAATTGGTACAGGAAGAAGTCATTGACCGAAATACGTTAATGCGATTGTCCAAAGTTACTTAGTCCATGCCTGACGCACTTTACATAATGAACATAATTTATCGCATAAGTATTTTATATAATCCTGCAGACCTCATAGCGTTGCGTCTTAGCAGTGCAGAAAATAGTCCCTGCTTCAATTTGAATCTTTATAGTCCTATAATCATGAACTGCAACTATCATTGTGCAATTTTGCGTTACTTTAACATTAAAAAGCAATTGTTGCTCCAATAAGTGAGCAACTTAATTTCGTCAATATGTTGTTTCGTTTTTCTGTTCGGATCGTTAGAATTTGGTTTATTTATTATGAATTTACAGAAGACATGAAGCAGATAAGTACACTAGTCATTGTACAAGGTATGTTGCTGAAGTTATTGCGAGTCACCTCTTTCATCGAATCAGTAACAGTAGTTTGAACAATTTGCAGATGTTAATGCTTGTTATGAGATTTTAAGGTTTCTGGTATAGGTCGTATATTTAGTTTCCTAATTGTGAATGTTGTGGTGACATGAGCCTTTTGATGGGACAATGAACCTTGAGACACTTCTTGAACTTATTCAGGCGATACTGAATAATATTACCAAGCTGCATAAAAATCTGTCACGAATTCAGCCTTCTGGACTGTTTACAGTCTAAAACTTGAATGCATTTTTAATAACAATGGCAATAACTCATACTAAATATTTTCCGATTTTTCTGATTTTCAATAGGGTTCATCCTTAGGAGATAACAAACAACCATAAGTTTCATCGAAATCAATCAAGAATTATGCCTTGTAGAGTGTTTACGAGCAATTGTGGACGGACCGACGGGTGGTGGCAATATACGCCCTCCATTTCATGTGATCGTTTAAAAATTACCAACAGAACAAAATTGATGACTACCAAAATCATCCGAGATCTTTTCGACATATTATTTTAAAGCATATCATGTTTCACTCAGATTTATTTGTTCATGTAACGGCTACCCGGTTTGATTAAACAAAAAAATAAATGAGGTAAACACATATTTACTTTGATTCTACTTCCTCTTACATTATTATTTAATTAATACAAGACATTTACTGATCAGAAATAGTTATAAATTATTTGATCATGACATTAAAAAAGCCTAAAAATCAGATAGGTTAATTATAAAGTCATTGCAACATAGTGCTATTGTAACTATTCGTGCTTAATGATGACATACTTTGGAAATAAAGGCACAGGCAATCCAAACTTCGCATGGGAACCGTCAGGGATCTTATGGCGAAAATTGTGTTAATATCCTAAAAAAATTGGCTGATTCAACCGGAATTTATATTGCCAATAGCTTAGAAGTCGTTGAAAGTGTTCAAGTTAGTATTTACAATAAGCTTTTACCAGAGCCTCGATAACATCCGTATGTTAAAGTTTTTAATTCAAGGATAAAAGTTAAATGGGTTGCTGGTTATCAAGAACCTAAGCTACCGCTACAGTATATCATCGTTTCTACTGATGTATGTATACATGTATGTTGATTTCTCCGATGGGTACTAAATATGTCGCATTATTCAGATAGGACATTGGTTGAAAACGGGCAAGTAACTAAGACATCTTCTAGGAACATATACTTGCAGGCACCTAAGAGGGTAAGCAAGCCTCTTGACCACTTATCAGAAAATAATCATGCACCTCTGTAATGTATACTATTTCATGGTTTTGGTCGATGCCTCCACCGTTAGTGTAATTTGCCTACTGTAAAGGTTACATCCCATGGTCCTCTAGTGGGCATGCTTTAGTCAAAATTACATTTGGGGTTGAAGAAATGACCATTAATTTCTCGACATAATGACCTGTATGTATATCAGTTATATACAAAAAGGGTTTAACGAAATACAATTTTGTTCTTTTAATTTCTTTATTACTAAACCAAGCTCTTCTACACATTACATCTTTACAACCTTTTAGCTGAAATTAATATAAAATTCAAACTCATTAAATTAAATTTAAAATATTAACGGTGAAGAAATGTTTTCCGATTTAAAAAAAAAACGTCAAGTCAATCATATATCTTCACTTGTACCTACATATCAAGTTTTATGAAAATCAGATGAAAACGAAAGAAGCTATAGCATTTTGACTACAAGAGGTCATACTGAGTATAATATGGCATGTATACATGCAGATGGCCCCAGAATTTTACTAAATGCCCTATTCCGACAGATGGATATAAACTGATGTTTTCTCAAGTGATGATTTTGTACCTTAACAGCATCATTCAAAGGAATGAAGACTCCAAAGGAAGTTTAATGGGTGCTACTTACATAGTAGTTTGTGTAGTATCTTGTCCACCAAAAGCTGGTGATCCAAAGCCAGCACCACCGAATCCCATACCATAGGGTGACATACCTCCAATCATTCCCATACCACCCATCATTCCTAAACCACCCATCATTCCAAGACCACCGAGTCCACCATACATCATAGCCATTGGGTTGTACATACCGCTCATAAGCATAGGGTTGTACATACCAGCCATAAGCATTGGATTGTACATCCCCATGCCTCCAAGACCCATTCCGTACATCCCCATACCGTACATACCGGCATTAGCAACAGCCAAAAGACAGGCGACAGCAACGACTAATTTCATCATCTGGAACAATCAAAATTAAATTGGGAACATATCATACAGTGTAAACTGTTCAATAACTGAAATGCAGTTTGCACTGAAGAAACCTTTGCCGAGATGGCGGCAATAGTCTATTAAATTTGAACGTGTACAGCCTGTGGCATGCGAGACCTTAGTTTATTGTTCCATCTGAATGACTTCTCTTTTCTATTTAAACCCCTCTACCGTGTGACAAGGGAAATTGGTTTGGAAAATGTGAAGTATCATCTTAACCTTTACTGTTGATCAATTTGTCTAAATTTCATATGAACACTAAACTAAAGACTTTGATAACAATCTCTTACCTTGAGTTTGCACTTTTTGTAGTGGTGTATCAAGTAGAAGTAGATCGAATGATATCTGCACTAAAGCGAATGACGATTTTTATATGATGCCTCTTCCTGATTGAAAGTAATTAGGGAAATTAGCACGCCTTACTTAATCGCTCATTAATTTTTAATTAAATATGTAATTCTTTGATAATGAATTTTACGTGCTATTATTATGTAAGATTGTCACGATCACTAGTAATATTGCTTTTGGTCACACTAATATTAATCATATTGAATTACTTTATAACCCTACCGCACAAGCATTGAAATCCAGACAAATTTTCAAGAATACACCGTACATAGATGGATTTAATTTCTAATCTAATTTTTTATCCAGTCATTTGCATGTTTGATTTAAGACAGTGAGTCAGTCACGTTAAACAAGGCCGAAAATCACTGGCCAACGTGAGAGCACGGATTGGTCAATTAAATTGGACCTATGGGTTTGTGGTGACAGGAGTGGGAAGGGATTGGATGGGATGGGATTCTCTAGAATTCTTTGAGGTCTTCAGAAGCTCTTAAATGATCACTATCATCATTGAAAGATATGGACTCACCCCACTAAAACATTTTATGCAAATGATGAATGTAGTCCAGGCTATTTTTAGATATCCTCTTTCTCTTTCGGCTATCTTTAAAAATATTCTTTCTCCTCCCTTTTGAGGTTTTAGCATGCCTATTATTGAGTAATGTTTGGTCTAGATTTGGAATTTGATGTCTGAAATTGCATTATCTTTACGATTTGGTGAGATGATGAGAGACCTAAAGGCGGAAGGCTAATTCTAAAAATAGTCGTTTTGTGAACTGTCAAACTCTAGCGGATGAGTATAACCGGTAGTAGTCTACTTTCAATGTTAGTAGCTCAAAATGTTCATGGTCATCATATATTGAATTTTTTAGGAGACATTGAGGATTGGTCAGGCTTTCATTCGACATATTGGAAAGCTTTCAACAAGATTTATGGAAAAAGTTGTAAAAGGTTGAAGTTCGTGTTCTAACATGGGAAGAGATGGCAAATGAATTAGTCAAGTCTTCTCTTTACGATCGACTGGTGTGTAGAGTTTTCTCCCTTTAATCATTTTGTTAAGACTTAGTATGGTTGTATGGTTAGTGGCTTTTAGTGAATGGTTTTTATTTTGATATTAAATGCTTCAGCACCTTTTATACATGCGTTTGTGTTTTTGCAAATGTTCAAAACAGAAACGCGTTCTCTCCTAGCAATTAAAACCTCAAGTCACAAATATTAGCTGAAAATTGTCCTTTGTAAAAACATAATGCGTACTCGTGCTTATATTTTTATCAATGCTTTGTGGTAACAATGATACAAATTGATTGTTTAGACACTTGACTGAATGCATAGTCAATATAATTTACTCACTTATGTATATTTGCTATCATATATTGCGCCTATTTTCGCAATGGTTTCCAATGACAAAATTGTCCTTGGAACATAATTGAACATCAACAGAAAAGGACAATTTTAACGAAGTTTAATTATTTTATTGTATTTTACAGTTGAAAATGTACAATTTCATTTTTTTACATAATTATAGTTTAATAAAGGAGAAAATCTTAAGAAACAAAATTTTATATACAATAAAATAGTATCACAAGTTTTGGTAATAAGACAAAGTTAGGCCTAGAATATCTAAAACAAATATTATTAATAATAATGATAATAATAGACATTGTAGTATCAATTTAAGCTGGGGAATGTCACAAATCTGATTTTGAATCTAGATGTTTTGTTTCCTGATGTTCCTGTATGTTACTACAGTCGTCATCCATGATCTGGCGAGCTTATTCTTGACGTTTTGTTCAGTCGAATTTTGACCCAATAGCGTCATAATTTATTAGAACCATTCAAAAGCATTAGCGGGAGTTTATTGACGATACAAGCCAATACCTCCTCATATTTGGATTTCTTTTATTGATGAAAGCGATTTAATATTTGAACATGTTTTTCATACCAATTTTGTTTAGCATTTCACCTTAGAGATTGAATCAGAATGGATGTTCACTTTCCAGCTGTGAATCAACTAATCCTGCACTGCTGTTAAGCTTAACATACATATTTTGACATCAGGTTGAATTGTAGCTGAAAAACTTGGAACAAATTGATATTAGGGAAGGTGTAACTTGACTATTCATAGAAACATTTGCTCTTTGATTTGATTCTGTCAGTCGGCAAGAAAATTTTCACACTTTTCAAAAATGTGTACACGTTGTATCCTTTTCTACTCTATTTTTAATAAAAGTGACAACCCAAATAAATGTTCCCAAACATTATTTTGCGTTATATCAAATATTTAAAAAAAGGAAGAATTTCGTATTTTCCATGGCAGTGAGGTGTATGCTCTAAATACCTGACTAGTTTTCAATCCAAGGCTAATTTTTCAGAAAATAATGCATGGATATATCGGAATAATTTCTGTATCGTAACGGGCAATGTCGTTTACAGTAGCGAAGGAGTAAATTATTACATAGAGATAAAATACACAGGCACTTGAAATAATTTAAATAACTATAAACGAAAACAATCCATTGTTTTTGGTTGAGTGTAAAGGTTCAAATCGACGATTTATGGTGTCCGAGATTATGGAACAATATATAATTAAAAGCGGGTTGTGTTCGGACCTCGTGCATAGGCTCTTTTATTTTCCGACATATCAATAAACCCGTAACGTACACCACACCGGACACCAGTCGCGTCAAATCAAATTTTTTGCCAGCAACAATCTTTCATTCAATGAGGTCTTAATTCCATATCATATTTGCCCCTCAATATATCATCCATTGAACTGGCAATAGAGAAATATGTTCTATAAATGTATGTATTATGAGCACGAATAATTTGCGGAAGTCCATGCTGTATATTTTGATAATGTCCCCTTATCCGATAAACCACTCATTCTTCAACGACATCAAATCTGACTTAGTAACGATATGTTTGAGATTTCGAACTGTAATCAATAACTGACATTCGCACAACGTATTCGAAACTAACCCAAAGATTATCCTTGTCCGAAACGATTCAGTTACAATTACAATGTAGTCACAAATGTCTTATATGTCTGCACCCGTCTCCTCAATCTTGCATGAATTGGAAACCAAAGAAAGATGTTTATTGGTTTATTTAATATCTGGTTCTGCAACTGATAAAAGGGACAAATTATCGTTCTCTCGAGCCAAAACCTTTTCGATTTTCGTTACTCTATGTTTTAACTTTTGCTGTGTGCTGTTGAACTCGGATAAAAGTCGAGCAAATCGAGTTTGTAGAGTATCAAGTGAAGAGTCCAATCTGGTCACTCTCTGTTCCTGAGTTTCTTGGTGTTCTTGGTCTCTCTTTAGCGCCTCTTCGTCTAAAAGATTGTCTTTTTTCAAGATCTGGCGACCACGCTCAATAAGCACTCTTTTGGCTTCTGGATATTCAGCTAAAGCGTCCCACAAATCATCTTTAGATAAGCAAAACAAGTCACTATAACCAATACTTCTAACGTTTGCCGTACGTCTATTTCCAGTCTTATTGCCGGCAATATTTAAAATGCTTACTTCGCCAAATACACTTCCGTCACTAAGCGTTGCAAACACTGTATGCCCGTCGTCTGCAACCACGCTAAGTTTTCCCCGTTTTACTATATACATTTCCCTACCAATATCACCTTTTCTGCAAATATAGTCACCGGGACTGAATATTTGCAGTTTGAGCTTAAGGACGAGCTCCACAAGGAGACCTGGTTCGCAGTCTTGGAATATACTCACTCTTTTGAGAGTATCTAAGTGCACATGCATTGCCATTTCGGCTTTCAGTTTATCGGGTAACGCTGAGAGAACACCCTCTTCATTCAGAGACTGTTTATTGGTCCATAAGTAATCAAACCACTTTATCACACGTTCTTCAAGCTCTTTTCCGACTTTACGGAATTCCATATATTGTTTCACACCGTCCATTTTCTGTTGAAAATCGGATCGAGCTGCGTTCATGTTTGTGATCATACTGCCTACATTTCCGACAATTGTGGCAAAAATTAATACACCGATCAGGAAATCCACAACGACGAATAAATATTCAACATCGCGCTCTGGTTGGGGTGTTTCACCAATGGTTGTCAGTGTTAAGGTTGACCAATAAAAACTGTAAATATACTTCCGAGTCAATGGTTTATACTTAGGCGTCGAGACGTTACCATATACCCAATCGTCTGATCCAAAACCGATCGCACCGCTAATCGCATAATATATACATGCATTCCAATGAATAATTATCAAAATATACAAGACGAGATGAAGAATTCGGAACATGTTCGTGAAACTCGTTCTTGTTTCAGTTCTGTCAAAGAATTCAAAAAGTCTCCGTGCACGAAGGAGACGATTGAAACGAACTTGTGGTTGGTTTGGTCCCAAGATGATGTAAAACAGGTCAGTTGGAAGAATACTGGCAACATCAAAGTAAAAATCTTTACTTTTCATGTATCTTTTTCGTAATTTGGTAGGATCTGTAACCATTAACCCGTGTTCTAGGTATCCTGAAATAACAAACCAGAGAAGTTGGTAGTTTAAAAAGCAAATAGTGTTTACCAGTTAAGGCTTTGGTGGTCACAAGCATACCGTCTGTGGTTAAAACCTTGAATGCATTGTTTTCATCGGTGTTTTATCAGAAAGAAGGGTTTGTTTTTTAAAGTTAAGCAGATGTAATCTTAGGATCCAATTATATTTTAACCACTTCAACCACTTTGTGCCAGAAAATACAAAAAAAAAACTCTCAAAGATTATGACCTTCCAATGTGACGTTTGAGATATTAAAAGTATATTTATAAATTGTAAATACTACTGTACCTGTTCGGAGCTGAATACCCATGTCTGTGAGATACAAGAAATCACTGAGGTAGTCTAAGCATAACCAGAGTATCAAATAGCTATCTTGTAATTCCGTAAACACGGACCGAGCTATAATAAACACCAAATTATATAACACAGCTACGGAGCTAACAAATAGCCATCTATAATAAAATGCTTCCGACGGATCAACGTAAAATGCTTTCCAATATCTGAAAAAAGAGAAAAGGGATTTGTAATGCATGTCACAAAAATATATTTCACATTTTACACTAGTTTACTACACGTCTTATTGTGGCTTACGGGAGATCAAAACAACTTTTAGAAAAAGTAAGTATCTTTATATTTCAGCGCATATTTTAAGGTTCGTCGACTTGTGTTTGGTATATCATCGGTCTCCTTAGAAGGGTACATCGTGTAGCATGTTTAAGGAAGATCTTGGGCTTGCAAGGTTTAATTCGAAATACAAAAAAATATTTTACAGCTGAAATTATGACTTAATGGCTAATGCTTTTGTTTCATTGCACTATGATTTTTGTAAATGCTTTTGAGACGTGTTGAAATATCCTCAACAAAAAAGCACGCTGTAATATTTTCATATTTTCTAAAAAAAAAATCTAGTTTAGTTAAGAGAGTTCTTTCCCTTTTTCGATGTTTTTGTATCAAAGTCTTTCAGTGATAATAGATCCTATCAAATTTCATGAAAAAACATACTTTTTGATTGCAATTATTGTAGTGAAGTGGACATGCCATAGTATCTTTCTATATTAGGTCATGTACGGTAAAGATATTGCTAGTTAATATCGTTTAGTTCTTCCTGTTGTCAAAACATAGTGACATTTTGTGTCTTTGATGTATTTCATCATATCTATATTTAGTTCAGCAGGTGTTCATTTTGCATGCTTAGTAAGATCTAAGGTTTTATGATTTAACGTATTCTGGCGGTGTTGTTCTCTTGGTCTGGCATCCTATTTGGGAGGTGGCTATTGGGGCGATATTCAAATCTTTCTGTTGTTTCCATGTGATGTACATGTACTCTAAATAGAGTTATGTATCGACAATCTGTACGTCTGGTTACTGTTCGGAGAAACTGGCTCGCTCACATTATAATAGCCATTTTTTAAAAATTCCTTCTGCACTTTCAAGAATATTTTTGGACAAATGTGGACCAACGATTAAATAATTAGTTACTCATATGATGATGTGTGAAATGCACAATGCTAAAATGAATAACTAGAAACGCGAGTCAGTAGCCGCTTCAAAAAACATATTTGTGATAATTTTTTCTCTCAACGTATTCCAAAATGTACGAGCCAATTTTGGTTCTAGCATTGATGAAGATATGATACTTGGTTATAAAACAGTCCGATTTTCAGAATCGTTTTGCCATTAGCTCTATTTAAAACTCTTCATTACGATTATGATCTCAATATCAGATACTATAACTTGTAAATTGGTGCTTACTGCCATTTAAAACGGTTTATTTTAAGCGTAATATTCCTACAAGGACTACGTGGATAATTAAGTATATGATCTCTTTAAGACTGGAAACAAACATGTTGTAATGAAATCCATTCCAAATAGCATTCAATGATTTATCACAATTTTAAATGGTCTGGTGCCTTACAGCCAACCAGTTTCAATTATCAGCTCAACAAATTCTACAGTTTCTAATAAAAATGAAAACATAGGCGAGTGGAAATACCGTCTCTATGGATTTGCTAATGGAACTCGCATCATTTAGATATTTAAAAGTACAGTCACGATTCATTTCATAGAGATTAGACGATCAGTTCATTATGATATTATTCTGTTGATTTTCAGAAATGTTTCACTTCCGTATGAAAACAATCAATGATGAGGGAAACTGAAATAAGATACGCATTGGATTAGAAACTTAAAATGTTGAAAGGGTAATTGGGTGATAATGGATTTAGCCAAGCAAGACTTATCACTATATAATACAAACATGTTTCAAGGTAATTGGGTGATAATTATAACGTTTATAACTAAAATTATGCTGGTACATTTCTTAAAAAAAAGTTAATTATAACAAACTGTCCAAATTCCATCATGTAAATCAATTTAGTAATGAAAAATGGACGAAAAGTTTTTTTTTCTTTTAAACAACTCCGGATTTAACTACCAGTTGGTCTTTAGTTTTCTAATGTACAAATCATTTGCAAAATTGTAGAACTGACAAGCAAATAAATCAGAATGTTGGGATGCATGGACGTGAGTGCCTACATGTTTATTTTGCTGTGTATATTTGGTGTCAGTTTAGTTCTGCTATATGAAAAGCCGATATATTAGTAATGCATTTCACGATCATCCTTGTTGATTTGTTCTGAATTGAAATACAATTCTAATGGTGCAAGATATGGAACGACATAATTATTTTCCTTATAGAAAAACTCCACAATATTCACGTCTACTGATTTGATTATACCAGTTTGCTTGTCAAATTAGATCGCTTATTTAGCACATCATTTTAACTCACATAGGGAAGGTTGTAGTCAATTCGCCATAGAAATAGGGATTATATTTGAAGTTTATTTTGAAATTGCATAGAGAAATTAAGAGCATTCCTATTTAACATCCGATGCACATTTCAAGACCAGGTGACGTATTCAATGAGTGAGGCAAGAAAGCATTCAAAGAAAATATCTCGGGATTTTTTAACCTAGTTTCACTGATCACTTATGTAGGTTGAGAAGATAATGGGGGATATGAAGAGGAAGAAGCGGTTAGTTGTGTATGTGCTACCGCTACAGTAAAGATTTTTCGTCAGCTGGGGAATGGGCAAAAAGATTACTATATCGCCGCTGTCGTGGTTAAATGCACACTACAAGGCGTCCCAAACACCAACATACTAAATCTAAGACAAAACAGCAGCAGGTTTAAAACCTAATGGTAGGCGATCCAGCTGTCAGCTCAGTTATTCTAACCAAGTGTTTAATTGCAAATTGTGGAAGACTTAACACACCATATCAAAATAAAATAAGAGATGTTTACTTGAAAGACGAGTGATATTGATTTTAAATCAGAAACTTGAGAAATCGACGGAACTAGGACTTTTTTCAAATCAATAACTTGGTTTCGATTAGTACACTTCACGCAGCTGATGAGAAAATTCAAATACCAGTAGAGCATGGTCTTTGTAAGAAGAACATTTATTGCGTTATGGCGTAATTTGTTGTGATCAAGGTTTTAAAATGGAAGATTCTCTAGGTTTGAAATAATAAGATTAGTGTTAAAATTCTGTCCCAGTTTGTACACAGATTTTTGTTTATATTCTGACTTTAATTTAATTTTGCCCATTGATATCCACAGTGTATGTTAACTTTTGAATTTTTTTTTTCAATATATGCATCAAAAAATGCAGTTTTAGCTTACGATATGCAATGCATTTCAGTGCATTGTACCATTTTTAGTACCATATTGTGTAATATAATACTCATTGCAGCAGGTTCCCCTTTTAGGCCGATTAAGTATATTTAAAGGGTGTCCTCGAAAGTAATTTCTAAAAAGGATACTACCTCTTAGAATGAACATATTTAAATTCTTAAACTTGGCAAGGGAGTATAAATTCATCATTGGTCATAACTATACCACAGAATCTATATCTTATATTGAATCTTTCACATTTGGTTAATCAACATAAAACTCGGTTGGAAAATTGTGTATTATAGGCCTTGCATCTAAACCCTGCAACAAGACAGAGTGGGGAAAAATGACGAAATCGAAATATGTAATACTGGCCAGAAAAATAGACAGTTAACTACAGAAACATGATCTGAAATATTATTCGAATAACAAAAATTGTCGGCCGAAATAGTAATTGAAAAGAGCACGAAGATCAATATCTGAACGTATTCGTCACTAGTTTAAAACAAGAAAAAACTAACGCTTGAGAACTATGATGATATCGTCGAATAAAGAAATTAATAAGAATTGAGAATTCAGTGAGATCCACACGCTGTCAAACAATAGCCAGTTATTTATATTCGGTTTGATTTATTTCATTTCATTTTATCCGCTTAACTTGTTATCGATTTTTAGCCTAGTCTCATCTTTAAATGGAATGAAATGTCATAGGAGGCTGGTTAAATTTACATCGTTTATCATCCAGTGTTTCCCATCACAGTCCAAACTCTTCTCTAACTTCATCATTCCTACAGGTCTTTTGAATTGAGATCAGTCCATCGCTTCATGACACCATAATGGTCAAATATCTATTTGAAAGGTCAAAACTAGTGTATTATGTCAAACGACAGAGCTTGTGAATCCTGGATTCACGCACCATTCCATTAGAAACTATCGGAATTAAGTTTTTGTCTATTTAATTTGACAAGTTTTAAAAACCAGAAAGCAATTCGCTCGATGATAGCGAAAAACAACAAGGGAGAAATTAAAATGGTTTTCAAGTCATACATATAGAGGACACTAATGGTTTCTCTACATACCATCCGGATTATAAGCAAGTGAAACGTTGCGACTTATAAATCATAATGTCTTTAAACCAGTTGGTAATGCATATTTAAATTCATTCGATGAGAATGAAACAGATACAAGTTTGATATCTGATTACAATATAGAAATACATCATCTCAACTCGAAAGAAAGTTTTCCAATTTAGGAATAATGAAAAAAAAATATATATTCATTCAAATATCCAAGTAACCTCGTCGACTTCTGAAAATTAGATTCTCGTCTTTTTACAAACTAATAACAAAAATATTTGGTATTTAAAATTTTTGTGGGGAACGTAAAAATAACATTTGTCTTATAAGACGTTCAATTTGAAAATCTATTTCAGCTATCACGTAGTTATTCTGTCAATTCTCAAAACTTGAATTTCGCAATGATTACATTGATAATATTGTTTTAAAAAGAAAATTGGTTAACTTCGTCTAATTTCAACATTTAACTCTAAAAAGTGTGTTGGTGAACGTTAGACAAAAGAAAAATATCGCACATTAAAAATGTCGTTTGTGAAATATGTGTCTGTTGAGGGTTGCCATTATATAATATACTTGTTATTGCGCATCCAGAAAATTGTGAAACTATTGTACTAATTTCTCGTGAAAGACTGCCAAACACGTTCATTGTTATATCAAATTCAATTTGGCTCGAACAATATTTTGTGACATGAAAATACCAAACACCAAAAATGACCAATATTATTTTTGGTACCCATGTCTGTTGTCTTGCATGAGCTCTAGCTTGAGGGTTGTGATAATT